GTTTGTGGGGCCGGGGGGGGGGGGGACCCAGCCCTGAACTCTTGGGGTGACCCCGGCTCACTGGGATGCTCCGCCATGGCGGGGAGCCGGCAGGGCCCGGAGCCGGCAGCGTGCTGCAGGCAGCCGGTGCAGCGGATGGCAAAGCTCTTGGCTCACCTCCTTCCTCCTCCTCCTCCCCGATGCCGTTGTCCCCAGGAGAAAAAACCACCGGCATCGCTCCCGGTCTCCCCAGCTCCGGCCATGGGGTGAGCAGCGGGCGATGCCGAAACGGCGTTCCCGTGGGATGGCAGCTCCTTGAAATACTCGGAGCTGCAGGAGATCAGCGCCTGCCCGCTCCTCTCCGTCCTTGAGCGGGGCCGGACGGACGTGACCTTCGTGCCGGGCCGGCCGCGGTCCCACCATGGGAGCCGGCATACGCTCCATCCCGTATCTGTGCCCTCCCCAAAAATGCTCTGTGGTGGAGGGTCGGGCTGGGAGTGGGGAAAAAAATTGCTGCTTTAATCCCTTGATCCCCCGGGAGGGAGATGGAGCACATTTGCCGACTCCGTGCTGGGAGTGGACACGGGCAAAAGCTCCCGCGCCTGCCGGCGCGCCGGGATCTGTTTGGTGGGATCCACCATCCCAGCCCCCAGCGCAAATTATTTGGAAGCTTTTTTATCTTGTGGCATTTAATAGGAGGATTATTTGGGAGCAGGCATCACAGCTGGAGCCGCTGCTGCTTCTCTCCCACCGGCAGCATCAGTTCCAGCTCGGCGCAGCTGAGGGGGGATGATGGCGAAGGGCTTTGCAAGGTGGGGATCCGCATGGGACCCCCAAAATCCCCAAGGATGGGGCTTTGCCGTGGGACGCCCGTCGCCGTGGGTGCAGAGGGCAGCGGGTGGCTGAGCTGGGTGGCAGTGCCTGTGATGGCTCCTGGGTGACGCGGTGGCAGTGACGGGTGGCCGGGGACCTCGGGGTGCTTCCGCTGCTGCTGCGAGGCCTCAGGAAACGGTGCTTTCTGCCTAGCTGGGTGGTGGCAGGTTGGAAATCCTAAGCCAAAAAAACAATCAGAAAAGAGGAAAACGATGCTCCAAACCCTTGCTGCCACCTGGACCCCCTCCGTCCCAAGGGAAAGCCCTTTCCTGGGAGCTGGGGGGTCCCAGGGGGCTGGGTTTGGGCCAGACAGGAACCGGGCATCTTGTGAAATCGGCTGTCCCAATCTCGCTTCCTCCTTTCGCAGGTTCCCTTCCCTCTTCTGATGGCCAGGGGGGGCAGCGGGACCCCCGAGGGGACGGGGATGGGGGGGTCCCTCCACCCTTACCCACCCCAACCATGTTCATTGACTTGGGATTCAATTTTTTCCACCTCCTGAGCTTGTGAGATCAGTGATGGAGCAGGAGGTGATGGGTTGGGAATCTCCTGGTGGGGCGTGATCTGGATCCGGCACATTGCCACAGCTACGGCGATGTTGTGAGAGCATGTTGGTGCAAACCAGTTTTGGGCTGGATATCCCAAACTGGGAGAGCTTGTGGGGCAAAGCCTGGCAGAAAAGCCAGTGGTGGAGCCCAGGGGATCCAAACTACCACCAGGAAGGGGACGGATAAACCCATCGCATGCCAAGAAATGGGGAATTTAGTTTTAATCCCCCAAAATTGGCTTCTTCCCAGCTAGGGCACTGTGGCAGATGCCGCTTTGGCAGAGCAACGGGAGGGTTGTCCCCGTACCAAGTGGTTTGGGATGTGCCGACGTGGCTTTTTGGGATGGAGCAGAGGAAAGGAGCAGCTTTGCTGCCGGGATGGGGATACTCAGATGCTCCCACCCAAAGCAGTCGGGATTTTCCCCCCTTTGCACATTAAAAGGTAGCAATCAGGAATATATAAATGAACCTGTGAATCGAAGGTGTGGTGGAGGTGAAGCTGGGAGGGTTCGGCTGGAGCCTTCGGCTGGTGGCTGATGGGGACAGGGTCTGCTCCGGCTGGGAGGTTTGCTGGCAAGGGCTTTGCTGCCTCTTCTCCTGGGACCTGGAGGAGAGAGCGGCAAACGTCACTGCTGCAGATGTTTGCAGATGTTTGCAGATGTGCTGTTGGCCCTGGCAGTGGGACCGGTCACCAGTGAGCCCTGGCTGCCGTGTCAGCCTCAGCTCAACCGGGAAAGAAAACTGATGCTCAGCTTTCTGCTGGATCTGGCCCCAGCTTGGCGCTGGCGCGGTAGCCAGGTCCGGCTGGGTGCCACGGGGGCTGCGGTGGGGTGTCCCCACAGGGCACATGTGCCCTGCATGGGAAGCGAAGCAGCCTGTGAACTGAGGGCTGCTGTATGTGGCTGGATCAGGCCCTGGGTGAACGAGGAGGATGTCCTGGCACAGGGAATGCCCTGGGTGACTGGATCAGGCTCTGGCTGAATCAGGAGGGCATCCTGGTGCAGGGATCCCCCGCATGGCTGGATCAGTCCCCCCACATTGCTGGATCAGCCCCCGACATGGTTGGATCAGGCCCTGGCTGAATCAGAAGAGTGTCCCAGTGCAGGGATCCCCCCCATATCCCTGGATCTGGCCCTGGCTGACTTAGGGGGACATCCCAGCACAGGGATCCCCCCGTGCGTGGGCACAGGGCGGGCAGGCAGGCACCGAGCGGGAATGCGGGTGCGGTGGCTGGATCAGGCTCGTCTCCTCAGCCTGTGAAAGCAGCTTCTGCTTGTTCTTAAAATAGAGCCGGGAGCAGCAGGCGGTAGTGGCCGCCCATCCCTTAGCTGCTCCTCACCACCCTTGCAGCAGGATCTGGCCATCAGCGGGGACCCGTCTGCTCCTCCACTGGCTTGTCCCTGCCTGGCATGTGGTGGATTTGGGACCTGGCCAGATCCAGGGACTCCCTGGTGGGATGAGCTGGTCCTGGGAGCATCACCCAGCCTGGCTTGCTGCATGCTGGGGGATAGGAGAGCCTTGGGTGGGCCAGATCCTGCTGGGTGCCTAGTGCTGAGCCCTGGGAAGAGGCAGGAGGATGGGTCCGGTGGCAGTCAGGGTCACTGCAGGGGACACCATGGGAGGGCTGGTGCTGCAAGGCTGGGCATGCCCCAAACCCCCTTGGGTGGGAGCGTCATGCTCCATGGCCACAAGGGATGGAGCATCCCAGGAGCAGGGTGGTCCATTGGCCACCAGCCCAGGCACCTGGTGACAATAGTCCTTCCCGTGGCCAACTAGGTGGTGGAGGCCCCTAAACCGCCATCTGAGGGCCAATCTGGCCCCTTCCCTGCAGTAGGCAGGGTTGGTACCCAATGTCTAGACCGGGATGCTCTCCTGTGCCACGTGCCATCGAGGCTTTCTGTCCCCGCTCCATGGATGCACACCCGGCACATGGCCCAGAAACGATGCTCCCTGGGTTCAGCCTGGTTTTCACTCAAGCCCGTCAGTGTTTTGCAGAGCAAACACTTCCGTAAAGGATGCTTTTAATTTTTTTGTGCTGGGGTTTGATGCAGAGCCCGGCTTCGCTCAGCTCTGCCCGCTCACATGCGGAACAAAAAGAAGGTGTTTGACAGCCAAAATAGCTCCATCCCCACCCCCGGCAGCAGCCCCGGTGCTGCGGGTGCTGTGATATGAAAAGGTCTTTTCGTACCGGAAGATAATGTAGGTGCTGCTTTGCCTCCCCCAGTCTCAGTTTCAGGTATTGGGTTAAGCCCAGCTCAACCCCGCAGCAAACCCACCCTGAGATGGGGGGTGGTCCCAGCCGGCCACATCCTGGCAGGGGACATGGGTAGGATGGCACCGTGGGCTGCGTGGCACCACGTGTCCCAGGAGAGTTGGTGGGGGACATTTGGTGGCACCCGTTCAGTAACGCGGTGGGCTGTGATGCTGCTGGCAGGCTGGGCGAGGCGGGGGGAACGATGCAGAAATCCCACGCTGGGGTGGGATGAGGGTGCTGAGTGCTGGCCGGAGGGTGCTGGGTGCTGGATGAGGGGAGGTAGGATGTGGCTGCTGGGGACAAGTCCCCGTGGCTGCTCCATCCTTGTCCCCCAAGGAGGAAGAGGAGGAGGACCAAATCCTTCCTCTGCCACCTCTGGGGTGCTCGGCTCCCGCCCTGCCCCACATCTCCCACCCTGCCCCACATCACCCACCCTGCCCCACACCTCCTGCAGCACTGGTCCCCCCCTCCTCGGCAGGAAATGAGAACCGGTTTCTTCGTGCTGCTGGCTGACGTGGGGGACCACAGCGGAGCCACTTCCTGCCCCCCCCC